TAGAGTACAACTGTACTTGCCTAGGGTTCAGGGAAATCAATGAGACCAACTTGCCACTGGTAACACTCTACGCTTTACATTTACATACAAATTCTCAATTTTGATTTTGTGCACTCATAAGTTTACAAAAGTTTACACATTACATTTACATAACTAGGTTGGACAGAAGGTGTCAATCAAGGTTTGAAGTTATCACACACAGGTGAGGTTTGAGTTTCTTAATGTGAGATTGTACTGTCTGAATTACTACACATGTTATTGGGCTCCTCTTACTTTTTTTTCTTTGCTGATATCTTGCTGTGCTTGAGTCCAGTTAGAAAAGCAATAATCTGAATTGTTTTTCCCAGGCCCATCTCATCACCAATAATGCCACCTGCCTGTTGGCAGTGAAGTTCCCAAAGCCACTGAACTCCTGTTTGCTGGTATCTTACAGTAACAGGTCAAATAACAAATGGTTAGTAAACAATGGAATAAATGAACAGGGGAAGGAATGATGGGATGAGATCACGGATGGATGGATACAACAAGATCCAGAGACACAAAGCAAGGAGAGAGGAATGGATGGGTGAAATTGAGAGTGGGAAAATAGTGGAATGAGGCTAGTCTTTCATCTATTTTTACCTACTTTAAAATAGCAATAATATCATCATGTACCAATCCAAGTCCTCATGAAATTATCCATCACTACAACCCCGCACAAAACCTGTTGAGACACATTACAAAAATACCTACTTTTTGGCACTCGTCCTGACAAAAATACTTACCATCACAAACTAAAAAAAACCGTCCCCCCCCCCCCATTGCCATGTTGTTTGTGGTAACACAAGAAATGCACATGGGGTGGGGAGGGGGTGACTTTGTTCCATTTCGACAAGATGGTTGCATGGCATGAAATTGAAAGATAAATGGAAATGTCTCAACAGTTTTGTCCAGGGTTGTAGGTCCTGAGTTGGATAAGCTTAAACAAAATGTGCTGCAATGCCATGCAGTTGTAATTTACTGCACGAAAGGGTGAGGGGAGGGAGGGATGAAAAGATGGATGGATAGGATGAAATGGGAGGGATGTTATAACTGGTCCAGTAAAATTAATAAGCTTGAGAATCTAAATATCTTACTCACTCTCAGACTTACTTGTATAATTTATGCCAAATTTTCCCTGGAATTTTCAGCCCCTTGTCAAACTCCATGTCTGGAAGCTCTTCTTCATCACTTTCATCAACTTGGGATTCCTTTCTCTTTTTGAGCAATTCTTTGATTCTCAACTCTCTTAATTTTTCAAATAAAAGTATCAGTGAGTAAACAAGTGAGTACTGTAAGTACAAACTTCATTACTTATGGACTTGAATATATTATTTTTAACTTAACCTTTCTGGAGTTTAGATGGGTTAACCTTGCGCCAAACACAACATGTACAGTCAGGTTCTTTTCTAGATCAGACTGGTCAAAAACAACTGGCAGCTGGTGAAACTGAACACCTACAACATGTTTTTGGACAGCTAGTCAACTGAGCTTTTTCTCCGAATCTACTTATTCAACAACAAAGCCATTTACTTCTACACTCTCTGACAATCCTGTAGATGCCACTGTATTTTTATACTGGTAATAACCAAAGGTTAGGAGTGCAGGCTTAACTTTCAGGATTCTGATTGAAGAGCAAAACACTCTTGCTCCAACACTGGCAATTTGCATTAATTTCACATGAAGGAAGGTCAAAACACGGGTGATCAGATCATAAAATAATGATAGCAGGTATAAATTTGCACAAGCAGATTGCATTCTAAGTATTCCATTCATTCTTAGTGGAAGTCCAAACAAATGCTGGCCACATATGTGCCAAGCAAGCTTACACTGTAATAGCAGCCTGGAGATTGGGATAGCATTTTGTGGGCTTCTCTCTATTATCGCCTGGAATTGTTTTTAGTATCTTCAGAAGAAAGTTATTATTATTGTTACATTACTTAAAAAAAATGTCTATTGGTAACTAAATTACCTGATTCTTTGACGGTACATTTTCTCACTTCCATCATCAACTGGTCTGGTGTCAATCTTTCTACTTTTCTTCTTTATCTTCTTTTTCTTCTTGGGTTTCAAACCATCCTCTTCTCTATATGCAACATTCAGCGAGCGTCTGCTCGCTGCAGGTTTCTTTCCTTTTCCAAGGTCCACTTTCTTGGTTTCTTCACTATCATCCTCATACCAACTGTACTTAAGTTCATTGTCATCAGGAACAAATTCATCATCATCATTATTGTCATCATCACTGTCAGAAATCTCTCCATCATCTGCTAATGATCTGACAAGAGATTTCCTTTGTACTTCTTGAGTTCTTTTGTCCACATCCCCACTTTGTTCATTAAACGATCCTTCTTTTTCCAGTTGTATCTCTTTTCTGTCCTTAGCATTTTCCACAGTCCCTCCAAATGGTGTCATCTCACCTGTCTTAATCAGCTCATCCTTTGCAGAATGATCCTGTAATGTCATTGGAACTTCTTGGGTTTCGCTTTGATGGGCAGCAACATCAGAAGCATTTACTTTATCTGGAATCAATACATTTGCATGCACATTATTGTATTTGCAAAAGGTATATCAACAGACTTTGGAAAGTTTTTAGAAACTACATGTTTAATATAAAACAAATTTAAAAAAAATTTAAATTTAATTAATTATTCTTCTTACATGTAATTTCTCTTACCATCAACTATACTAAACACCTTCAAAGTTCTAGTTTTAATCAAGCAAATGCACCATCATTAATTTTGATAAAGCATAAAGCTAACACTCCAAAATGCTACAAAACACTTCTTCTTATCGATCACTTCTAGTTGTGGCGAGACTGAATAATGGTACTTTTGTATTCAGTATGGAGAGACTTTTTGCAGCGTACAATGGAAGCATTATTACAATGACACCTTGTCTCATTACCTGGGACATCGATATCAGTATCTTCATCCAAAAGACCCAACTTGTTGTGCAGAGACTTCTGAGTTGCTTGCAGTTTCTTTAGCTGCCGTAGCTGTTAGGACAAAAAAAAAAACAATTTCAAGTTGTCCTCTTAGAATTGTTTCTTAGTAGTCACTAAGGGAGCCTTAAAATGTACGTTTTAAGCTTTCAAAGAGTGGATGACAGTGTTCTTCAGTGCAGTGGACAAAACCTTGTTCATTCAAATGAAATCTCTTTGGAACTACTTTCATGTGGGTTATTTGCCAAAATGAAATTTGGGAGTGTCTGCCTTTGGACATTTTGAAAGGGCAAGTTGAATATAGAGAAAATGTAAGGACTTTCTTTTCCCAGGGACAAAGCAAACTGTCCATGATTAGGAGGTGTCGGTATAAAGAGAGTGCATGTCCATAAAGTGGGGTTTGACTGTATTACAAACACACTAAAACAGGAGTAGCATGCAGCAGTGGCAGCAGTGGTGGTATCAGAACATGTACCTTGTTATCCTTTTGCTTCTGAACTGCTTGTGTTCTGCGCCATGCTTCATATCCTGATCCACTCTTCCCCTCAAGTTGTTTTAGAATCTTGTCAATCCCCTGTATTTCTTCTTCCACTGTCCTAGAATGTTGCATGTTTATACAGAGTATAATTAATAGCCAGGTATTGGATGCTACATGACATTTGACAAAGGGTTTACTCACTAAAAGTGATAGCTTCTTTGATAGTGTTTCATTCTTGTGTGTTCTCGAGAAGCTTTAAGTGCTGACTAAATCCTTGGAAATTCATGAGCAGCAGACAGCTGACTTGCAACACCCGCTTGACCTTAATTGCCCCTTTAGCAGCCTGAGAAAACAGCTGATATTTGGTGACGCTACCACTGGTTTCCCTGCCAAATGATGTCTGAGAAATGAGCGCAGAAATTCCATACTGATGACGCGTCACTTCCCAGATCTGGGTAGTGCTTCTGATTGGTCGTGCCACATAGCAAATTTGATTCAACCAATCAGAAGCACTACCCAGCTCTGGGTAGTGATATGTCATCAGTAAGAAATTTTTGCACTCGCTTCTCAGATGGCATTTGGCGGGGAAACCACTGGTGGTGGTGTCACCAAATGTCAGCTGTTTTCTCAGACTACCCCTTTAGAAACAAGAAAGGAACTGGGTCAAGTTTACTTGCACAAAGACTTTTGAGACTTTTACTAGGGACAGGGAAAAAATTGACCAATAGCTGATCAGCGAATCCCCAATAATGATCCCAGAAACAATTGTGGGATGCATTTCAGCTCTAGTGCCCTTCTCATCTCTAAAGTGGTGAATAGGGTTAAGGATGTCTTGAATATCAAGCTCAAATCCCTTTGTTTAAAATTCCAGAAAAAAATCAACACTCCCCCCACTAGCTGATAACATTCTGGAAATTCTCACAGGAGAGGGATTGCAAAAAACTATAAAACCATCAGTCAGAGAAAGGGGGAGGCATGGATATATTTTGGAGTAACCCGGTATTGAGGATGACTTTCAGCCGTGTCCTTGTTAGTGATTCTATCTAACTTAATGTTGCTTGTTGCCATTTCATGTCTTATGTTGCTGTTTCAAGGCCATGTTACTTACATTTTGTATCGGAGCTAACCCTGAGAGAGTCTATATTGATACTATATTGATCACCTGGGGTAACTGCAGAATACTCTGCCACCTTCGAAGCTATATCCCTGAAAGAGCAGGATATGTGGATATGCAGTTATCCCTTTTATGTGATTTTCTACCTTCAGTGGCTTTAAGAACGACACATAGACATATTGTATTGTTTTTACGCTGTCTTAAGTGTATATTGAAGTGGATACACGGATACTCGGATACCCAATGAGTATTATTTTAAAGATATTTACCAAGTGGATACACGGATACGTACTGACATTCAGTGGATACACGGATACACAGATAGCTAGTGACTGAGTATCTACATATTCACCTATTTTTAGGGGTTGCTTTAAAATGGCAGGGTATTCTGCAGTTAAGCTGATCACTCAACTATTGAGAACACTATCTCACCTGATATCTTCATTTACTGCCTTCAAGTTTTTCTCCCATCCTCTAACAAGCTCCTCAGTCTCTTTCACTGCAATAGCCTCATCAACCTGCTTTAAAACACCTTCTTCAAATTCATCCTGGTTGAACACATTCACACCCAAGTTCCTCAGAACTGAGGCTTGCTCTTCGACGGGAACAGAGGGAATCAAACCTGAATCGATTGAAATACCATAGCTTTTAGTTTTACGACTTGATACTTTATCCTCGTCAACAACTGCATTTTCTTCTTTTATCTCTTGAGAAGGGGATTCATCCATTGTGCTTCACAGAGATGACAGTGTCCGATCACAGATTCAGCATCATCAGTTCTTTTTGCCTCAAACTGGAAATAATAATATACAAAACACAATAGGTCTTCCAGTCAAGCTACTATACATGCATGGCAGCAAGGATCAGTTGTCTTCGCATTCTCGGGGACTGCAGATTTCCCTAGAGGGCCCGGCTGGAGGGTATAAACTTTATCCTGGTTATCTGGGTTATGAACGATGTATCCATGAAGTTTATCTCGTCCTTAATTCTTCCCTGCGCGATCAGGGCAGTATAAACCCAATTCCAACGACTGCTTTCAAAGAACTTTTGTCAAGTCAGCCATATTCATTTCTTCCGATTACCCTTAGGTAGGTTACGTCATGTATGCTACATTTACTGCCTGAAAAAGGAATATCCATACACAACATATCTTTTCTTTCAGTGAACATCCGCTGACCAGGAAGACTTTCGGATCATGACACGTTTACTGACACGTTAAGGATCATGACAGCTGATTCTCAGCTGATTATAACAACTTGTTCGTGATGACCAGATAAGTTGTCGTTCCTGGTACATGTTGTCTCGAAAGACACGACTCCTTTTCGCTCGAGAACTTTGCAAAATGGCACAAATGAGTGTTCATCCCATCGCAGCGAGTGGATTTGTAGCATCACAATTTTATGATCGCTTTAGACCGAGTTACTCAAAAGAGGCTGTGAGCTTCTTAGTTGGTAAACTTTTTAATGCACGCGACTCGCAGCCCAAACGTATCCTGGAACTTGGAGCAGGAACAGGAAAGTTTACGGGTATCTTGAAAGACCTTCTTCATGGCAACAATGTCGAAATTATAGCGAGTGACCCTGTCCTTTCTATGCGGCAAGAATTTGCGAAACATTTTCCTGATTTAGAGATCAAGGATTTTTCAGCGGAAAATATAGGTAAGGTTTAAAAAGGATCTCGTGTACTCTTCCTGTTTTTCCAAATGGCACTGAAGCAGCCACTAGATTTATAGAACACAAGAGGACGCTGGGAAGACCTGGACGTTTGGCTGTGCTCGATTATCAGCCGCTATTCTGGGAAATGAGCCCACACTAATCCCAAAGATGGCAGGAATCTAGCCTACCTTAAAGTAAGCTGAAGGGATTTGCGTTGGGGAGCAGGGGGGCATGGGGGGAAGGGGGTGAAGAGTCAAGGCATGCTGAAGAGACAGCTAGGTCATATCCCTCAAAGCCGAACCAATATCAGAGAGGGTGTGTGTGTGTGTGTGTGTGTGTGTGTGTGGGGTGAGGGGGAGGGCCAAGTTCAATCCCAGGGCTCTTTTCTTGTCTCTTAGAGGATGGGTTGAATAGAGCACTGGAAACAAAGTTACAGAAGTGCTTACTGGTATTTTGCTCCTATCTGTGGCTCTTACTTGGAACAACATTAGCATAGTGGTAGTCTGTAGTGCCAGCCGTCTCCTTGTCTCAGCCCCCCTAAGGGGCAGTCAAGTGAGCCTGCAAAGGAGATGGAAGACACTTCAGACTAGTGGGATTGTATATGTATAATGTAGTGGTTGACATGTTCATCCCTAGATCTTAAATTTATGACAGGGAACTTTCATGCACATTTTGTGTATCACCTTTCTGATATGCTTTATGCGTTGGATTCCAATTTGATTACTTGTGTGTCTTATTATTTTCCTATAGCATTACCAGACGCTAGTGTACATGCTGTGTGCGCTGCTCAAAGTTTCCACTGGTTTGCCAATGACAGGTCTCTTTCTGAAATTCACCGTGTACTTGTACCAGGAGGCAAACTGGGTCTTGTATGGAATACACGGGATTTAAATTCAGTTCAGTGGGTAAAAGAAATGCATGAAGAAATTGTTTTCCCAATTTATGCACAAACTAACACACCCAACCAAAGAACCTTTGAATGGAAAAGAGTGTTAGAAGCATCTGATAAGTTTGGGCCAATAGAATGTGATGAAACTTTCAAGTTTGAGCAAACTTTCTCAACCTGTGAAGAGGTCATAAACAGAACAATGTCTTCTAGTGTCATTCAGGCGAAAAGTGAGGTTGAAAAAGAAGTGATAAAAGACAGACTCAAATTGCTTCTTCAGAAGCATGAAGTCGATCAGCAGAATGAAATTGTCTTTCCCTATGTGGTCTCAATGTATTGGTGTGAAAGAAAGTGAGTCCTTCATGCAGGAAAGTATATCAGGGGCAGATTTAGGAATTTTGATAAGGGGAGTCCAAACTTATCCATGGTTGAAACTGTCTTCCCTAGGTAATAATTCCTATTCCTTCCTGTCTTTTATTTGTTTTACCGTAAACCTGAGAAAAATTTGAGCATAACTGTGATTAAAAGACATAATGATTATTATTAATTATTTTATGGCTAACAGCCAAAGTGTTGGGCAAGTTTCATTGCTTAGCTATGAATGCTGTAGAATAATAAATTATTTTAACCTTTACAAGTCCATTTGCAAAGTCGGTTACTAGCAATACCTGCAGTATTTGAAGCATTTTGACCCAATGGGCAGAAGACCTCTGGGGGCAAGACTGGATCTGAAGGGCTTAACCCTCTCCTGAATCTGCTGCTGTAACTGGGATAAATATTTACCACTTAAATTTTAAGGGTGGCATTTATTGAAAGAGAACAATTTGTTAAAAAGTTTATTGTAAGGCATATATATATATGTTTTTTAATAACTGTGCAGAGAAAAAATTAACTCTTAGCTGTTGAATGGTAAGTACAAAAACTGACAAAAGGAGCAATAATAACTTCTATGAAATCGGTGCCAAAGATTCTAATCATTGTCGCTACATTCATTGACCTGCCTCGGTCCTTGCCTATTCCCTGTACAGCGTCTTCCCAGGTCTTCTCGGGCAACTCATTTTGATGACGTAACCGAGACGAATGGCCAGGAGACTCAAAAACTTTCCCAGGCCACGTGACTCGAAACGCATCAGCCGCGCGCAATAATGAGGCCTAGCGATTAAGAAACCTCGTTCCTAGGCGTCTTAAGTGTTTGGTGGAAAACGGAAAACGTGACTGCGAGCGATCAAGGAGTATCGCGCAATGGATTATGGGAGCATTTAGCTTTGACGCAAAGGACGCTGGCAGTTCTTTGACCACTGAGAAGGGTGTTACTGTAATACAAGGGGTTTTGATAGAGATGCTTTCCCGCACTCCTGTGAACAAAGGAACCTTTTCAATGCTTGGGTCGACAAAATACAGTGAGTTGTAAGAAACTATTCACCCTAAGCGTCGTCTTTTCTGCGCTCGTCCCAACTTTCGCGACAAACTCGCGCGGAAACGCTTGCTATGTAGTCCGGTTACAAGTCGTTTCAATACGAGTTTATTCAGTTGAGGTGTAAAAATTTTTACTTACTTAGCATAAAGAAAGAAGAATATTCACCCCAAACGTTTTTCTTGTTCTCGCACAAACTATACTTGAAGTGGTCGAAATTTTAGTGCAATCTCACTGCTTGAGTTTGCATCGAAAAGACTTTGAATCAGTTTGAATTGTATCGAAACGACCGGTTTCCCGTAGGCCATATTCACCGAAACCACACCCTGGTGTCATTGTACATGTGCTTTGTGGAGTGGAAGAAGGGAAAAATCTTTTGTCAGTACCAAAAAATTAAGGATTGAGCAGTTTTTGCTATCAGTTTAATTCACTTTGATTTATACCTTCTACATGGAATTTAACATTTGCGTTGTTCTACTTTCGTTTCGGTACTGTTTGTTCCGTTCCGGTCAACGTGAATTTCTTCGTGAAGTTATCCGTAGACGTATACCATGCCGTCTGAACCCGCCATCCCGCTTCCTCCATCAGCAATATCCCGACTGGCTGAAAAAAGTACAAATACATTTCTGAACATATCGAGCGATTTTGTAGCCTGCGATGGGAGAGTTGCGAGAATTCACGCGAAAGGAGACGAGTGCTCGCTCGCGTGTTCTCTCGGGTCTCACTTCGCTCGCCATAATAGCCACAGTATAGCTCCCATAACTAGGTAAAAGTCGTTGAATTCTTGTCAAATCAGTTTCAACAAGTTTCTTTTCGTCACAAGCGGATCGTAAAACACCAAGTGGTAAATTACAAGAAGTTTCTTGCCGGAAAACGCAACCAGTATTTTAAATTTTTCTCTCCGCAAAATTGCCCAATGTACCCACCCCAACAGAATTTTCGCAATTGTAGTGCAAAGTGGGTCGTTGAAATAATTTTGAGTATAGCGGGTTTGGGAGTAGGTTGATGATGAATTAAAGGTCAGCGTATATAGAGTATTTCATGATTATATGAGCATTTTAAGAGGCTTACTTATGGCATAAACAGCGTTAGTGAAGTTTTTTCCTGCACAAAACCTAGTGGAACATCCGCAATCGTTGTAGCACTGGTCAGCACACTGTCCCCGTCGCGCATGTCCTTCCAAAAAGAACGGGGAATCGTCGGTTCCACTCCAACACTCACCTAAATAAAGAAATGATAGCGGAGCACCATGGGTAAGAAAATTTAGTTACTCTTGCATCCAAGAAATTTTGGTTCTGAGAAAAGGTAGGCGTTACTGGTAAATCGTCCGGTCGTACGTCTACCCCTTCATGTAAGCCGGGTTGAAATTTTGCATTTCAATCACCCGCGCAAAACAACGGCAAAGAAATTGTTTTTTTGCTAAATAGACCTACTGATTTTTTTGGCTGTTTTTGTTGCCGTCGTCGCTTAGCATTACACGATTTTATATTTTGTTTGAGTAAACTAAAGATATTAACGAGAGAATCGCTTTTAGAGCTGGATAAATCTATAGATAGGGATTAAGTATTCGTAAGTAAGTATTCGTCATTGCATTTTTTTTCTTTTCGATCCGCGACATATTAATTGTAACTGGGAGCTTCGTAAGACTTCGGTTGGTTAGAAAGTTGAATTTAAGTTTGGCGTCCCATTTTTGCGGGCGACAAGAGGAGCCCGCAATCCTAATCTCCAGGTTCTTACTACGCATGAGTCGCATATATGTAGCCAGTATTAGTTGGGACTTTCACTAAGAATGAATAGAATGCACAAAACGTAATTTGATTACGCGTGTTTTGACCATCTGTCACGTGAAACTTACGCAAAGCACAGCAATGGAGCAAAAGCGTTTAGACCTTCCATCGTTCTCGCCTGCACACCCTAACCTTTGGTTATTACTAGTTTACTGCTTAATTGCGGGCGATAAGAAGAGCCCGCAATCCTAATCTCCGGGTGGCTGTTACGCATGCACGGTACGTATAGCCAGTCTCGTTTTGACTTCCACTAAGAATGAATGGAATGCACAGAGGGCAATCTGATCACATTTTGATCACACGCGTTTGGACCTTCTATCACTCGTAATTTGATCATGCGTGTTTTGGCCATCTATCACGTGAATTTACGCAAAGTACAGCCGCGTTGGAATAAAAGCGTTTTGACCTTCGAGCGTTGTCGCCCGCACTCCGTAAGCTTCGGTTATTACTAGTTCAGTAAAATATTCTCACCCCAGTACTGAATCCCAAAGATTCTCCATCCTTTTTTCTGCGCTTGTTGTGCACAGCGGCACACGAAACTCGGGAGATGCTCGTACCAGTTTTTCCAGTCAATAAGTTGACCGCTGAAGACTGGGTTTTGAATCTGCTCATCTCTGTCGGTCAGAATATACGACGGAAGTAGGCGTGGCTGGTCTGTTTTATCCTTGAAACATCCAATCCTCTCAAAGCTGACGCTGCAGAGATCTAAACAATTCGCACGCCGAATCAGGAAAAAAATATTGATTTATTCATTTATTTAATAGCCAAGAACCGGTTGTTTATCCAACCTCGTTCCCAGGGTCCTCTCCTACTCGTTTCCTGGAGCGAGAGAAGGGAACTGTTGGAGAGGATCCTGGGAACGAGTTCGTTATTTATCAGACTTTGCATGATTCCTGACCCCTCCCCCTATATCAATAACGATTCCAATCATTCAAGATGGTATTCAACACTTGCGGTGACAACTATGAACGAGTAGATCGGAGGAAGAAAAATATCTTCTAATCGTAAGGATCCGCTGAGGCACATTTAAGGAAGAAAACCTGTTCTTTTGCAAAAGTGTCTTGACTATTTTGCATATGGTTATGGGCTCCTGTAGTCAGGTGGGTGGGTGGGTAGGTACGTGGGTAGGTAGGTAGGTAGATAGATAGCTATAGATTCTCCTTCGACTTTTAGGCAGATGTTACAACAACACCACAAAAAGTCACGTAGAACTTTTCCCTTGAAGCGATGTTACCCTAGCCTATTTGTGTAAAAATGTAGTTAACCTAGCTCACCAACAATTTTGTAGACCATGTTACGCCGCGCCTGTCCTGCACAGAATTTCCTTCCGTTGCAGTCGTTGCGGTCCGTTCCAATACAGTCCTTACATCTCCCTTTACCATAACGATAATAACGATGCGACGAACTGCTGCCAGCGTGACATTCACCTGAATTAGGCACGTAAAAAACTTCAAATAATCTTGACGATAAACGGGTTCGTTTTAAAGAAGCCATGTTGCGCTTGTGGTGTGGGAGTAGCTCTAGTTCTTTTAGCGGAGTTGGGTTCATAGTTAAATTCAGGCCAACGCACAAAAATAAAAACTAAGTTTAAAGCTTTAGCTCTTCTGCGGCAGAACAAAGTAACCACTGCTGCCGAAGGTTGTGAAAGCAGCTGCCTCGTTCCTAGACGTCTCTCTCTCAATTCGCCACTTGCACATCTCCCAAAATGCACCTTGTTTGCCCCCAAAATTTTGTTTAAGCATTGCTTTCAATTTCTCTTGGGACGGCTCTAATACCCAGGAGAAGTGAAAAACAAAGGTTATGCAAAATTTTGGGGGGTAGACAAGGTGTATTATGGGAGATGTGCAAATGGCGAATGTAAATTTGCGCGCAAAGGAAGATGGAAAGGAGAAAACGGGCGAGATTCCCCCTGTTCTTTCTCCTTTCCATGGACCCTTGCGCTTCTTCACCAGTCATTCGCGTTTCTCGCTTGCCTTTATTCGCGACCAAACTGCAAAAACGAATCGCCCGAGGAAGAGAAGTGGTGAAAGCATAAGGTTTGAATTCATTTGACGAAACCAACTTTACATGGTACATGGGTATTCGTCCAACCCTCTCCTTATCTGCAAAACAAGCTACATATATGTAGCTGAGGCGAACTCCCCCTGCAGTCAAAATCCTGGACCTTCCCAACGGAGATTTGCTTAAAGACGACAAAGAGCTTGTCGAGTAGTTGAGTAAGGTAATCCTCCAAATATGAACATGCTAGACTATGAGTTACCATAAAACTGCACTCCAAACAAGTCATAACCCAGTTCCTTTGCTTTCTGGGCACAGCGACAGATGAATCTAGGGAGATAGTTTTCCCAATTCACCCAGTCTATCAGCCGCCCTCCATAGTTGGCAATACTTTTGTCGCGTTCGTTGTAGATGTAGTGAGGAAGTGCTCGGTCGTGTCGTCTATCTCTGAAACAGCCCAGAGGCTTGAACAATACACCGCACCCTTCAGGATCCTCGCAAAGGTTGGTCGCTAGATATATCCACGAAAAAGATAATATGAGACTCAAATGCTGGCAAAAAAATTAAGTGAAAATGTAAACAAGAGAGCATTTACAATAGTTTGGGATGAATTGACAGGAAAGCAACCGCGGAATTAAGTGTCCTGTTACTCCTCCATCTCTCCTGGAGGTCTAGTGATGCTACCCGTTTAATTCAGTGGTTATGCCCTTCTTGCCCTTGACGGCTGACTGTAGCTACGTTTCTTTGAAGGTCTTATTGGTCCACTGGATTACTAGACCACGAGGAGTCTTTTCTTTTCCCCAGGCCATAGTGGTAAACCGGGCGAAAGCGTGCGTGAAATCGCCTCACGCAAGAAGAAGCATCACCCGAAGGGGAAAAAGGAAATATGAGTCCCACATTTTCCTTGCCGCGTTTTAGCCAACGCCCACCTTAATTCCTCCTTTTCCTTCAAACGCCTGCCATGGAGGCTTTCTGTGCGTAGCTTATCCATGCGTGTGGCAGGTGATGACTTCACGCTCGCTCGGTTCCTTTGATCGCCCGTGAGACTGCTCGTAGATAGGCCACTGAGAGTAGAAAGGTTGGCATAAGAATAGCGCAGCGGTGAGCCGGCCCTCCCCTTCAACCAATGTGGCCTGGGTTTGAATCCCGAAGGAGTCGTAATTGTCGCAAACATGTGCAAATATGAGTGCAACATCGTCCCCAGGCGCCGGGTTCTATCCCTCTCGTCAACCCTGGGAACGGGGTAGCGTAGGAGTGTTCAGTTCGTTGGTGATACTCGCATATACTCGCTCTTATTCCATTCTCGTCCCCAGAGCCCATCGTTTCTTGGTCACGTGGTTCGTTACAAACTAAACCGAATGGCTCTGGGGACAAGAATGTCCCTTTTCTGGTCGATTTTTCCCCAGCGTAGTACTAAGGATTTCCCCTCTCCTCAAGCAAACATTTTCAAATTCCAATTTGATGACTCATGAAACGTTCTTAGTTGGTAAATGAGACCATATATAGTGAAGATCAGTCTTACCAGCTCTGATGTCATTAAGCAGGACGATAACGACCAGCACAGATAAAGTAATCATCTTCGTTGCTACAAAGGAAAAAGGAGACAACTGTTTATAGTATACAATACTTATCTACTTACTTACTTGGGCTGGTAATCATCCCTAGCCATCCGATTGAAATCTTTCCGCACGGCCCTGATCGCTGATATTTCTTTACCATTATCCAATCCAGTTGCCCTAAAAGTAAGGTGGGGATCCGGGCCCCTTCCCTAGAACCGTCACTTTAGCCCCCTATATAAGGATGAGAGGAGAGTGATCCCTGCGTGCTTTGTAGGGTTATGCAATCATCCTGGTTTGCGAAACGTTGATTCGTTTTTATTGTAGCCTGCCAAGACTGCCAATGCGTTTAGCTGTATTTTAAGGAAAATCATGCATTCAAAGACCTAAATATGCGGATGTTTTTTGTCCTTCTAAAAATGTTTATTCGAGACTAACCGATCTTGCAGTTCTTTTTAAATACTGAGAAATCTTCTCAAAAACCAGGCCACCATGCAGTGGGAGATATTCCTCACTGTAACGTCTGTAAGTTGAAACACTACTACAACCGCTGGCTTTAGACTTGTTATCCGGTGTTTTATAACCCTTTTAAAATAGTTTCAATGTGCTAAGTTTATTTTATATAAAATTATAGAAAACCGCCTAACTAGTGAAAGAAAATGCTTTCGGTGTACCTACTTTTTCGTGAATCGGAATATCTGCAGCGGCAATGAAACGTGTTCACACGCCAAAGAGATCAGTACACTGTGGAAGAAAATTACTTTCCCCAAATCTTAAATAATTGCTTCCCAGTAAACAAAAGAATAGGCAGATATTTTTCCTTACAGACTTTATTTGATTTAAAAGAGATATAAAGTAGAAAAAAGTTATACGGACATATTTTAATTTTACATCGTAAAGAGTTTGTATTCTGGAGGGGGAGGGTGGGTAGGAGAGAGAGAAATCTCCAGATTGACGAAGCATCCGTCAGTGAAAGTGCTTTATTCATTGTAGTTAGACTCTAGCAGAAATTACGGTAAATGATGTGATCTGCTCGCACATGCTTTTATTTTAAAGGGGTAATTCCAAGGGGAATATTAAGTTGTCGACAATGGCGCTGTCTCTTTTGTAATGCTTTAATTAAATTTTTGCTTGTTTCACGACTTATAGAAGA